TGCTAAACCACACAGATCTAATTCTTAATTTTCATTTCATTAAACTGTTGTGTCATGAGCATGTAGGGTGGAATACGAAAACTTGAAGGGCCCATTTGCCTCTGCCAACTCTAGATCATGTAAACAACCACCAAATGAAAAATATTCATACATGTTGTTGTTGTTATTGTTGTTAGGTGCCGTCAAGTGGTCTCCGACTCACAGCGACCCTATGCACAGCTGAATGGAACACTGCCTGGTCCTGTACCAGAGTCATGGTCCTTGCTATACCTGAGCCCATCGTTGCAGCCACTGTGTCAATCCATAAATACTCACTCTTAATCCCAGCTGTTAATAGCAGCTGCTGGTGCTGGTTAAATGAAAGATTTCACTGTACTTTGGACCAGCCATCAGCATTTTCACATGTTCTGAATCTACACAACCCTTCTTCTTATCTTCAGATTCATCTCCAAAGGGCAGAAGTACTTGTGGTCAATTCCAAACGGTTCCTGAGTATACAGTTGTCTCTCATCTCTCTGAACATGGAAGTACAAATACCCACCAGAAGCTTCCGGTAGACTATATCCTTCATCCCTTAGAAAATATTAAAGGGTGCCCGTTCATTTATTCTGAGAGTTGATTAACAGTGTTGAGGGCCCAACACATAGCACCAGTGTATTCTTAGCTTCATTCATTATTAGCATTTTCAAATGAGGTAAATATTTATATTTATACATGTTCAGATTATTAATTGCATCAAGTAGTATGTTTAAATATCTGTAAATCAAAAGCATTTGAAGAGCTGAAATTCCGATTTCCTCTCACTTGCCTGCCAAGTGGCCTCAATCAGAAGTAATTTTCTCCATGAGGGCACATGGAGCTCAGTTGTGAGTCTTTTCCGAGTAGATATTATTATTTGTGTCAGATTATGTGTAGTGATTTTTCTGAAGTGGACTTCTGTGCCTAGTAATCCATACATAGGAGGGTCCATCATTCCTTCTTTCATTGGTACTATTTATTAATTATGCTTGGGCTTCAACTGTTTCTTACCCTTTGAAAATGTTAGTTTATGGTCACTGATTATCTGTATCGTTTTCTTGTTAAAGAAATATGCAAAATACAGAGTAGGGTGAGATCTGATCTTAAATCATAAATACTATGCATTTTAAGAGAAACCTTTTTCCCAGAGCCTGATTTGATAGCTTGGCTAAAGCAATGGTTAGTATTCACCTTTTAAAGTGCAGTAAATTATATAAATCTGACACTTGCTTTAAGAGAATGTCAGTTGACCATTAAATCTCCTTCCTGTGGCCTGTTCTAAATATTGATAATAAGGTCTTATAGTTTGACCAGTGAGCTCAAGAATATTTTACCTTTCATTTGTGTTTTTGAAGTTTGATTTTGAAAATAGATGCTTTTATATTTATTCGCACAGTTAAGAGTAACAAAGCGATAGTCAACACATAAGATGAAACAGCCTCTGGAATATAAAATACTATACTATCAATTGGGAGCTCTGGTAGCATAGTGGCTAAGACACTTGCCTGCTAACCAGACGGCTGGTGGTTCAAACCCACCAGCCACTCCTCGGAAGGAAGGTTGGGCAATCCTACTTCCGTAGTGATACTGCCTCGGAAACCCAAGGAGGGGTCGCTATGAGTCGGGGCGACTCGACGGCACATAACAACAACAACAACAACAACAATACTATCAATTAGGATCTACCATGAACTTTGATAAATGAAAGTTTTAAATGATATTTGTTTCCACCACTCTAATGTGACTTAGAGATTTGTTAAGCATAGATTGATGCTTTGTGGTTTTGTATTCTTTCACATGAGCTTTTCTATTTAAGTTTTTAAGAGAATTATTAAATTTGAATTTGGTATGATTGGTATAGAAGCCAATTGGTTAAATCATTGAGTATTTTAAATAATTATTCAGTTGCCTTTCTTCTTTAATAAAATCTTCTGAAACATGTTAGCAGGTATGTTTAGAACTTCATTTTTTAAAAAAATTTTATTAGTAGTAGTTTCATTTTTCTAATATGCATGCATCCATTTATGATATATAGGCTTTTATAATTGAAGAAAATCCAAAAATTTTAAAACAATCACTAAAATATATGTATGACTATTTATAATATTTATTTTACAAAAAATATTTATTTTACAATTAGAGCTTTAGTTTTGATTAGGAAAACTCAGAATTTGTATTCCAAAGAGAGCCATACTTGTCATTTCTACTAATATTGATATCAAAGCAGCTCCTTACCAGGTTGAGTCCATATGGGTATAAGTTATATAAATAAGTATTATTAACCTATTATTTTTTTGGCAAAGTCTACAAGAAGATATTTCTGATCCTCTTTTGGAGGGAGTCATATTTTGGTTAAGTTTCAGTAATCTGAGAAGAACAGCAAGAGATTTCTTAATTTTTTAAGACTATATCCTTAAACATCTATGAATAAATAATTACATTACCATGTGTTAACTATTTGCTGAAGATTTTTGTGGTTAGGAGTTAGCCTATTTTTATAGCTTAATTTTGGAACAAATACGTTTATAACTACCAAGGAATGGTTTGCATAGTTGTTGCTGTTACGTACCAATGAGTTGGTTCTGACTCATTGCAACCTCACATACAACAGAATGAAACACTTCTCAGTCGTGTGCCATACTCTGCATGGTAATATGGTATTAAAAAAAAGTGTTATAAAAAATCCTTGAGTATTCCACTTTTTCACTTATTAGCTTATTCTGGGTAACTAACATCCTAGGTGTTACTTTCTTATCTATAAAATACAAATCAATGCAACTCCCATACCTACCTCACTGGGCTGTTTTAAAGATCGCATAAGGATGTGCTTTGAAACTCCCATATGCAGTGAAAATTAGATGACTTCACATTTAGGCCAAACTTGTTGTTATATTTGGGGAGAAAAAAAAAAGGAAAATATTCCATTATATTCCTCATTAAACACAGAATCATTATGTTATCTTCTGGAATTAACATAATCAGATAAAATGCTTTAATTATTGTAATATTATACATTATTACTATTTTCTAAATTCCTTGCATGTCTTGCCATATGACATAATTGTTCTTGAAAGGTGATAGATTGTAAATATTAAACTGGAAATAATTAATGTAAGATGACACTAATGTGTGACCCACGACTTTTGAATGTGGTATGTACAAGAATAGAATCCTTGGTTTTTTTAACCCTGTATCTGCATCAGGATAAGGACTAGTAAGAAAACACATTATCAGAGTGCTTGTATTTAAGGGACCCTCTCCTTCTCAACATTTGTTAATTTGGAAAAAAATTCACCAAAACCAACACTGCTGTCGAGTAGGATCCGACTCATAGTGACCTCTCCTTGGGTATCCTTGGCAGTATCACTGCGGAAGTAGATTGCCCAGTCTTCCTTCCGAGGAGTGGCTGGTGGGTTTGAACCGCCAGCCTTCTGGTTAGCAGTCAAGTGCCTTAGCCACTATGCTACTTGGAGGTGCCTTAATCTAAATCCATGTAACTAATTCTCTCAGTGCAGATCAGCCAGATATATTTAATCCTCTGGAAAGTTCCTTTTGGGAAAGCACCAGATACACTACTGTGCTGTATGTATTTATTCCCGTTCCATGTAATTTGTATATGTATACAAATTTCATACACTTAACTCATATATATATGATATATATTATATATATATATACACACAAACACACATATATATCTCATATATATCATATGTATATATGAACTCTGGTGGCATAGTGCCTAAGGCATTTGACTGCTAACCAGAAGTCTGGCAGTTCAATCCCACCAGCCACACTCAGAAGGAAGGTTGGGCAATCTACTTCCGTAGTGATACTGCTTCAGAAACCCAAGGAGGGGTCGCTATGAATTGGATCCTACTCGATGGCACTGAGTTTGGTGTGTGTGTATGTGTGTGTGTATATATATATATGTGTGTGTGTGTATATAATTTCAAATTATTAGTAAGATTTCTCCTTTGGCCTTGAAAATTTCCTAACACGTTTCTAAGTAAGAGAAAGGCAGTGTAAACCTGTCTGATGCGACTGCTGACATAAGTGACAATTAGCACAATTTATCGTAATTGTGTTCTTTGGATAAAATGCCACATTACTTCTGTAGGAGAAAATTCAGGCATCTACTTAGTAAAATGAACCAAATACTTTGATTCTTTAGAGGCAGTCACAAGTTCCCCATCAGTCGTGTGGTGTTCCCTCACAGTCTACTTCAGATCCTTCTGAACAACTACAGCCCTCCGTTCTCTTTCAGTAAAATAGGTCCATTAATGTAGTGCACCTCACTCTCATTCATTCTCAGGGAGTTGTATTTTTATTACTGAGAAAGTATCACATAAATACAAATTACATTTTTTCATTAGAAAACTACTTTTCACTTCAGAAAAAATTCAATTAATTATGAATAGGGTTATGCTTTCATCAGGGAGAGAAATATGTAATTTTTCTTCAAGCCTCAAACACATATAATGGAACCTTTTCTCAGAATCCACTCTTAAGATGGATTTTTAAAAGTATAGACTTTATTAGAATCTCAGTTCAATTAAAATGCATTCAATTACTTTAAATCTTTATTAAAATCTCAGGTAAAATTGTACAGTGGTGTAAAAGAGACTTGTACTCTTTACCAGGTAGTTAATTCTAACAAATGAACATAACATGCACAGTTTTCCTCTTTGGGAGAATGTGAAAAAATAAGTTTTGGGTTTCGAGCGGGTTGGGGACGGAATGGAAATAGATCTTGCCTCTGTTTGGTAACTTCTGGTTTCTTTTTGCTTGTCATTGTAGGTCAGGTTTCTTGTGAATATGAATGTAGCATTATCATATATGAGTCCCCTTAGTGGTTCTACTTAGTCTAGTCATAAAATACGGTTTCCTCAATGCGTAAATAAAAAAGACTCTACTGAAGCGTATTATTTCACTTTCTTCTTGGGATATTTTCGGTACAGTGTCCCTGATTCTTTTTCAAGGGCCGCTTGAAGATGCCATTGAAGAGGAAGAGGAAGAGTGCCCATGCGAGGAAACAGACCTCATCTCAAAAGGGGACTTTCCGTTGGAGGAAAGCTTTTCCACAGAATTCGGGCCTGAAAATCTGAGCTGTGAAGAAGTGGAATACTTTTGTAACAAAGGTAATTGTTGATGCCTGAATGAAATATGTGAGCTCATTTACCCAGTTGAATTTTTAAAAAGTACACTGTTCAGGTGAAGTCAAAGTACTCAAAATGCTGCCACGTAATGCAACAGTCTGAAAATATGTGTAGAATTCCTTAAATGTAAAATACTATGTTGAAGGACCAAAGAAGTGATTCTACCTTAGTAGCAAGTCATTTTGTATATTTAAACAAATATTTTCATGTTGTATGTCCAATTACCTATGAATAGTTTCAGGCTGATTGGTCAACTAAGTATGGTAAATTTATTGTTTATGACTTATTAATTCATTCTTTCAACAGCTCCTTATTGTGTATCAGTTTCCTACAAGTTACTGTAGGAATTGACTATAAACATTGAAAGGGGCAGAGAGAGTCCCTGACAAACATTCTGGCTCTCTCTTTTTGAAAAGTAAATGCTTCATGTATTTGACATTGACTTTCAATGTCTGACAGTGGTGCTCTTTAGGTATTCTCAAATAGAGAAATGCACACACTATAATCTAGATGCTCTTTTGACCATTAACATTAGAATCAAAGAAGTTCCTAAGGAAATATATCTGACCTTATTTCCCACCATGATTTGGAGTCAAGTGGCCTTGCCAACTACCATGCCCTCTCTGGACATGCATACTCATATACTCATTAAATTGTGTGTGTGTGTTTCCCTCCTAAAAGTCAGTTTAAGATTTTGTCTACTTCTTTTTATTTAATTTGTGTTTGATAGTATTGTCTTAGCAAGTGAGGTCGGTTTTCTGTGACCAGCATTGGTATCACTGGCTTGGGTTAGAACAGTTATTTTTGCTGATTTCACCACAGCACTTCTCAGAGGTGTGTCTTCTTCCCCCACAGAGAGCGTGTGAGTCTGTGTGTTCATCTAGATCTGTCTTGGTTTATGAGTGTACTGTTTAATACTGTATTAATTATTTAATTCTGACTTGGATACTTTTTCAGGCAGAGAAATTAGGGTGGCTGGTTTTTGCGTATGTATGTGTGTGTTTCTGTGTACTTCTTGATCAGATTTGACCAAGTATGAAATTAAAAATGCTGATAAAGCTTCTAAGAAAACTGCAAGGACTTTTATCTTAGTGGTCACTCAGTGGCCATACACATTCGATTCATATTTATAAAAATTTCAGCATGACTCTCTACATGTGCTAGTGTGTTAACTACAAAAGAAGTCAGCCAGTCGCCATCATGTGGTCGGTAGTACCCACCATTTTACTATGGAAATGCAGTGCCAACAAGAGCACCTGCTGTATGCATTGTGGTTCGAAAACCCCTTTTTGTCATTAACTCATGTAAATCTCAAATGGGCTTTGTAATCTGGTCCTCATCTCCCACATCAGAGATTTTGGTTGAAAATGAGAAAATAGGGACACAGTAGGCCTTCTTTGTTAGTGCTGACTCAGATTTCAAGCCAAGTGAGTAATTTCTTTAGTTGTTCTGGATGTGGGAACTATTTCTTGAGGATACAATTAATACAAGACAATAAATAATAAGAGTAGGATGAAATAGAATTTTAAAATCTGTGTTTGAAGACATACTGTTTTCCTCTTCTGTCTAGTAATACATACTTTTGTGCTTTCTGGAATATTTTACTTGTGTTTTAGTATTACAATAAAGAGAAGAAACAAACAGAAGGTACTGTTTATTCACTTTCATGGTTAAAGAATGAGTTTATTGATTTAGATATGTTTGTTAATTTATCAATGCAGGGAGGCAGTATTGATACATTTTATTAGATATGTTATACATTGGGGTGAACATTGAATGCAGGCTATGTTTAATAAAAGAGTTCCTATAACTTAGTCAGTTCTTGGAAGAAATAGTCTTGTTGCATGCTTACATGATGATGTAATCATGATTTTAAGAAAATAACCTCCATCTGCATTAACTGGAATGTGAACTCATGAAAAATAATGGCAGGGTCTTAGACACTAACAAAATCATGGAATACAATCATTAAGAACATTATTGTTGTTGTTGTTGTTACGTGCCATCGAGTCGGCCCCGACTCATAGCGACCCCTCCTTGGGTTTCCGAGGCAGTATCACTACGGAAGTAGGATTGCCCAACCTTCCTTCCGAGGAGT